TCTAACCCTAATCCTACCCTAGCCCTAACTCAACCCTAACCTCTAATCCTAACCTTAACACTAACCCTAACCCTAACACTAACCCTCACCTCTAACACTAACTCCAACCCTAACCCTAACCCTAAACACTAACCCTAACCTCAACCCTAAACACTAACCCTAACCTCTAACGCTAACCCTAACCCTAACCTAACCCTAACCCTAACCTCAAAAGCCAACCCTAACCCTAATACTAACCCTAACCCTAACCCTAAACCCTAACCCTAACCTCCAAAGCCAACCCTAACCCTAATACTAACCCTAACCCTTGACCCTAACGTCAATCCTAACCCTAACCCAACCCTAACCTCTAATCCTAACCTTAACCTTAAGTCTAACCCTATCCAAACCCTAACCCCTAACCAGGGGTTAGGAGTAGTGTTAGGGTTAGTATTAGTAGGTTAGGGTTGAGTTAGGGCTAGGGTTAGAATTAGGGCTAGGGTTAGGGTTAGGGTTAGGGTTAGGGGTTAAGTTAGGGTTAGAGTTAGGGTTGGGGTTAGGGTTAAGGGTTGGGGTTAGGGTTAGGGTTAGGGTTAGTTTGAAGGTTGGGGTTAGGGTTAGGGTTGGGTTAGTGCTAAGGTTAGGATTAGAGGTTAGGGTTGAGTTAGGGCTAGGGTTAGGATTAGGGGTTAGGGTTAGGGTTAGGGTTAGGTTAGGGTTAGGGTTAGGTTAGGTTAGTGTTATGGTTAGGGTTAGAGGTTAAGGGTTAGTAGTTAGGGTTGGGGTTAGGGTTAGAGGTTAGGGTTAGTAGTTAGGGTTGGGGTTGGGGTTTGAGTTTAGGGTTAGGGTTTGGTTTAGGGATAGGGTTGGGGTTATGGTTAGAGGTTAGGGTTAGTGGTTAGGGTTAGGGTTGGGGTTTTAGGTTAGCGGTTTAGTAATTTTTGGCTGGTTTGAGGGGTAGGGTTTTGTTGAGGTTTAGGATTTTAGGTTATGATTTGGTATTTTTCACGCCATCAAACACACCATTTAACTGTAACCCAAATTTTATTGATTATACGCTCACTTGACAGCAATGTATCCTAAGTATTTGATCACATTGAGAGTAAATGATGTATGACCTATCTTATGCGTTCATAGCCATAGGGTTTACTGATAAAGTCCTTTGTTTGGCCAGACGTTTGTCAAATACTAGTCCGTATTTCTTGACTTTGTGGGTTAGACAGATTTTCTAGGTAGTCCTGTTTGTGTCAAAGTTGATGGTGACAAGCACACCTGTAGGTCTTCGATCCTTCTCTGGGTTCTAGATTTGAGCTAAAATGTGACGTTTTATGGATTCAAAATTTAGCAATTCATAGCCTTGTTCATCCAGTGTGAAACCACGTGTTTTACACTCTATGTCGCCTGTTTGCAACATGTAGCTGTAATTTGCGCTTATCCTCAGGGAAATTCCAGACTTCATAAATGTTGGCGATTTCATATCCTAGCTCCGCAGCTTTTTGCAACCCTGGTTTACACCAAGTACCCGTTAGATAGCGCTCTTCTTTGGTGTGTGAACAAAACTCTGTTCGTTTCAACCAAGGTGTTTCCAACTNTGGGTTAAGGTTAGGATTAGGGTTAGGGTTAGGGTTAGAGGTTGGGGTTAGGGTTAGGGTTAGGGTTAGAGTTGGGGTTAGGGTTAGAATTGGGGTTAGGGTTAAGGGTTGGGGTTAGAATTAGGGTTAGGGTTAGGGTTAGCGTTGGAGGTTAGGGTTAGGGTTAGGGGTTGGGTTAGGGTTAGGAGTGAGGTTAGGGTTAAGGGTTAAGGGTTAAGGGTTAGGGTTAGTATTAGGGTTAGGGTTAGGGTTGGCTTTGGAGGTTAGGGTTAGGGTTAGGGTTAGGAGTTGGGTTAGTGTTAGGGTTAGGGTTAGGGTTAGGGTTGGAGTTAGGGTTAGGGTTAGGAGTTGGGTTAGGGTTAGTGTTAGGGTTAGGGTTGGAGTTAGGGTTAGGGTTAGGGTTTGGGTTTTAGGTTAGGGGTTTGGTAATTTTTGGCTGGTTTGAGGGGTAGGGTTTTTTTGAGGTTTAGGGTTTAAGGTTATGATTTGGTATGTTTCATGCCATCAAACACACCATTTAACTGTAACCCAAATTTTATTGATTATACGCGCACTTGACAGCAATGTATCCTAAGTATTTGATCACATTGAGAGTAAATGATGAATGACCTATCTTATGCGTTCATAGCCATAGGGTTTACTGATAAAGTCCTTTGTTTGGCCAGACGTTTGTCAAATACTAGTCCGTATTTCTTGACTTTGTGGGTTAGACAGATTTTCTAGGTGGTCCTGTTTGTGTCAAAGTTGATGGTGGCAAGCACAGCTGTAGGTCTTCGATCCTTCTCTGGGTTCTAGATTTCAGCTAAAATGTGACGTTTTATGGATTCAAAATTTAGCAATTCATAGCCTTGTTCATCCAGTGTGAAACCACGTGTTTTACACTCTATGTCGCCTGTTTGCAACATGTAGCTGTAATTTGCGCTTATCCTCAGGGAAATTCCAGACTTCATAAATGTTGGCGATTTCATATCCTAGCTCCGCAGCTTTTTGCAACCCTGGTTTACACCAAGTACCCGTTAGATAGCGCTCTTCTTTGGTGTGTGAACAAAACTCTGTTCGTTTCAACCAAGGTGTTTCCAACTGTTCCTCTACGCATTTTCCACAGAGGGGAAAAGTGAGCTTTCCACCTGCACGAACGGGCAGTACCGGATGGTACAACCTAGGTGAAGCGAGAATCTTGACTTTCGCAATCCAAAGTAGCTGTTAATATCTTAATCTGCAGGATTCACCAAAATGTCTGGATGGCCGACTGGGTAGGTTTTCTTTTTGTTGACGTAGGGGTAAAGCGAACTGATATCCACATAGTGAATGGCTTCGCTTTCCTTAGCCTCTGCATACAGGCATACAGCATTGGTTCGACCTCCAAAGAAGCTGTCTCTTGGGTTGAGTGGTTCGACAAATTGAAAGGTCTTGAGAAATTCTTGCAACTGCAGGTCTGTTTTCTTGTCTTTGTTAAACGCACACTCCCATTTCTCTGTCACCTTATACCCAGCTTGTTGAAGTTGTCTTGTTTTTCTACAGGTGGCTTCATAGACTTCGTTTATGGTACGATCTGGATGACAATAATGTTTTCTTTGTCGATGTTGAATCCCTTTTGTGCAACAGACCACAAACACTAGAAATAAACAAACAATTATCTGATGCAGCTCTAATATCTAATGGTGTTTCACAGGGGTCTGTTCTATGTCCTTTTGCTTTTCCTCTTATATATTAACGATATTCATACTTGCTCTAATACTTTTAATTTCTACCTCTTTGCTGATGATACTAACATACTGTACGCCAACAAGAACCTAAGGTCACTTGAGGCAACAGTAAACTCTGAGCTAAAAAAAGTTGTATCTTTGGCTGGTTAGTTTTGGAATTCTTGAATAAACTTGAGACAAGCTGCTTTAAGGATGATCACATCGTAATGGCAGTACTTGTTTAACTCATCCCAAAGGACGTATTCTTCGTTTCTTTCTAATTCTGCGGCGTACCAGGTGTCAAATTCCTCGCGTTTTTTCTGCTTCGTGGCTTGAGGTTGGAAATACTGTGTAGCTGGTATAGAACCTCTGTAACATAAATTCTCTCTTGTATGGAACGTATGAGGAAAGAAACCTTTGTGAAGTTCCACCAAATTAAATGTGTCGGGCAATACCGGTATTAAACTTTAACGTTTTAGCCCTTGTTGTCAACTGGTTTTCAACTTTGATGGCTTGACGGTAAAGTTCCTCTATGATAAAGTTTCCGTCAAACCCTTTCAGGTTATGAAACACCACCATGAGATCTCGCTGTTTGTCCTTCACTTTTGTTAGATTATTCATGGCCTGAATAAACTGTTTAATGCGTGTATCCACGTTAAAGGCATGTGATACATTCTGTGGATCCTTTCTCAGTAGCATATCGAATAAAATCTGCGACGAGAACTTCCCTGCCTTCATCATCTTGTTCAATCAAGCATTCTATATCTCCAAACAAGAAAAGGGGTGGTGGTTTCTTCTCATCACCGTCTGGTTCTTCGTCTTCAGGGATCTCAACACGTTGAATGTAGCATTTATGGTCGTAAATCTGCACAAATTCTTTGCAGTGAAAGCACGTATCGTGGTAACAAACATGTGGCTCGTCAGGATTAACGTAATACTATTTGCAGCAAATCAAACATTTTCTGTCCTTTTGACAGAGACTCACTTTCTTTTTGCCTTTCTTCATTTTGTGATTCGTACAGCAGTCTTGACGGTAGAAATCTCGCTGGCAGTCTTTGCTGGGAATGGTACGTTTCTTGCCAGGTTTAAAATCTGGACAACCACCCTTCTGCGAACGTGTTCGTTGACAGCTTGAACAGTTACGTCTCATACAGGAATGATTGGCTGCGTCTTCTGTATTGTACCCCTTGCAACAGTCAGAACAAAAGTAGGATCGGTTCAAGAACGCACGGGCACAGCATAATTCATCTTGATTCTTGATGGTGATCATGCATTTTTTTTTCTTAAGCATCATATAAAATGGAAGCCTTTTGGGATTCTTCGACGCTGGACCTTTTCCGCCTTTTTCAGGGTACGTAATAAATGTGAGAGTGGCATTGAAACCAATGGCAGGATTCATGTTTTGGGCACTGTTCATTTTTCTGGCAAGTGATTCAAACATCACGTGAACATAATCGCCTCTATTCACAAACTCGTTGACGGGAACACCATATTTCACATCAGACAGCAATCCAGATTGAACGGTTCCATTCCCATGTTCTTTCGATGTTAAGATGTACTTGTGTTGTATTAGGGAGCTTTTGTTGAAGTATGGTATCCCTTATCGTTGTACAATCATTCGTCTAAAGTTTCCGCCTTCGTGGGGGGACGTAGCTGGTCAAACGTCACGCTGAATTGTTCTTTCTTTGACCGCACCCTTTAAACCTTGCCGTTGGTATGGTAGGAACACCATATTAGCTTTGAACAGAGGTTTCTTTTCCAACGCTAAACGATTAGCTCTCTCGACCAAAAATTCATTCAAACCATCGTCCATCAGGTCGAACATGTCCACGTCCTCTTCCATTTTTCTTTTATTTTTGATTTGTCTTTCGGAGGTTTTAGGTCCGCCTTCTTACTTTCCTGTTTCATGCTTCGAGTACTCACAGCCCCACCTGTCTGGTTATCAAGACTCGAGCAAGGTACTTTGTTGAAATGAAGTAACTCAATGCGAAGTACTTCATGATTGTCAGCAGCTTTCCTTTTGGCTGATTCGGAGTGTCACAGTGTAAACATGGAACTTTAACATTGGTTCCACAATGTTTCCTATGACGTGAAAAGTCAAATCTGTTCTTGTACTTTACAAGGTATTTTCTGTATACGATGATAATATTTGTTTTTTGTTTTTTCGTGAAATTAACGTCTTTTTTATAGAAAACTTCAAGTTTTATTTCAAATTTTGGACGTTGCAAAGAATGTCACGCATGACGAAACACGTCAGCAAAGCTGGTAAAGTTGACCCTGGTGATAGAATAATCCTACCAGTGAAATTTGCTAGTAAACCAGAGCTAACGTCAACTCGCTTGCTAGGGTAACCCGGCCGAGAACAAGGGTAACCCTCTCTCCTTGTAAACAGGCCCTTAGCTAACAATTTTGATTTTGAATGGCAATATGTCACTCATCTTTTGAGCTTGGAAAAAGGCACTGTAATTTGCAACTGTTTGATCTTCTCGCCAGAGTTTCACCCATTACAAGTTCTTTAAAAGTGTTGTGCTTTATAGCCGAATAGGCGTTTGCACTAAGCTGTCAAAAAGCTCCTCATTCAAAGTCTTTGTTATATGTTAGTATCTTCAGCAAAAAATTAAAATCTGAAACCTTTGAGACATCACATAAATCATTTATATAAATCACAAAAAGCAAAAATCTACTTTGGGAAGTTGTCACCGAATAGAACAAATTGATACCTATTGTCTATTATATGAGTAATTCGCAAACATATTGTAACCATCCCATCCATCATCCAATAAAATTTGATGATCAACTGTATCAAAAGCTCTAGACAAAAAAATAAAAACACATAAAAAGAACTCATTGTTATCAATAGCAGCAGATATCTTATCATACGAAATAGTTACAACGTATTTAGTCCAGTGATGCTCAGGAAAGCCAGATTGATGATCAGTGAGTATTTTATGGTAATTGTAAAATACTCCATCCAATAATAATTAAGAACAGAAGTAGGTCCTAGATTTGTACCCTAGGAATTAAGAGAGACATTACAGAGCAAATTCACCTCATTCTCCAAGGAAAAAGAGAACGCCGCCCGCTCTTTAACCGATTGAAAAATGTTGTGAATGCTAGTTTCAGTCGTTTTTGTTCTTCGGACGATCAATGGTCTAGAATAAACAAAAATTGTGCCGTTTGACCTTGAGCGGTTGTGGTTGTCTTAAAACGGTCTGATACGATGACACGGTGTTTCAAAGATAAGCTTCGAGAGTAATAAATGCCTGGTTCCAAAAGCAAATTCTTCTTAAGGGAGGCAAGAGGTCGGAGATTGTCATTCTAGGAATTGAATAAAAAGCATTCTTGTTTTTCACCAGTATCATTAGCAGATCTCCATAGAAGGTCAAAATAACTTGCAAAATATTTACAGACTTCTGAGTTTGAGTGCTTAGCATTGCGCTTGAAGATGCATCAGACAGGTCAAATCATTAAAACAAGCTCTAGATTAAATAAATAAATAAAATAAACAGGGCTGTAAATTCATCCTTTAAGGCATCAAATGAATTTTTATTTGAACTCCTTAGAAGAACACTTTTTGGTTTCGAATTTTATTCATTGTGAGCTTCATTGCTAGGGAAACCACTAGGTCTGGTGTACGAAAACTCCAAGAATAACCTTTTGTCAGGACCACGATTTATCAGCACCGTTATTCAAGAGTAACAAATTCAACCTTGTTTGACATGTTTTAGTATTTTGATTCGTATTCATTTGATCAGTCTTGACGGGTTGCATGTCCAATGCCGTATTTATTCGAATAAGCGCCCAACCTCGAATTAGCGCCCACCTCGAATAAGCGCCCACCAACACCCCACCTCCAAAAAATGGAATAAGTACTCATGAGAGACTTCCCAGAACAGGGAGTTTCCTTCAGAGTATAGAAACCTTGCTTTGTTAAATCTTCGCGTTTTGTTATTACTCAAGTTTATTGTTTTGCTGCAAAATAAACATACCACAATTGCTCAAAATGTTGAAAATTTAATGAGCACCCAGCCTCAAATAAGCGCCCACCTTGAATAAGCGCACACTCTCATGGTCCAAAAATTTAATAAGCGCCTAGGGTGGTTAATCGAATAAATACGGTACCTCGTACTCATCCAAGAAACATCGACTACAACTTCGCCTATCCGTCGGCGACTTACGGACCAAAATAATTACAAACCTTGAAGACATATACCCAAAAAACAATTACACAAGATAGGAACCTGAATAAGGGTTGATTTCCAGTGTCGCGTAATTTTTACGTGCATACGTGCGTAAAATTTAAGTTTGTATATAAAATAGAGGCAATGCATAAAAGGTGGCTCGTAAGCGTAAAAGTTGAACCTCGCTCAACTTCTCGTTTAAGCTCAGCACTTTTTATCTTGCCTCTATTTTATTTACGTGATTAGAATTTACGTGCATTAACGTGCGTAGCCAAAAAAGTGTCAGTGGAAATTAACCTTAAGATTGAACGATGAATACGTGTGTAATAACGTCCTCAGGCCTTTCTGGTTCTATCCATAAATCCAGATGGAATTCCCATTACTTGTTCTTAGGTCGTTTTCCACGTCGAGTTTGAATTACCATAATTACGTTGCAAGTGGAACTTGTTTCAAGTATACATGTCGTACTCGTCGTCTATACCACTAAAACTCTCAGATAGTTCTTTATTGAAGGCATGCGGTAAAAATGTATCTCTGTAGTGTTTAGAATTTATACAATATACCCGGTACTCGGTCATGCATAACAGTGTTTATTCTAGAAGCGAATCTAGTGCTATTGAAATACAGGATTGTAAAAGGTAATGCTGTATGAAACTCGTTTGCCACTAATCAAAAGCTCAATCGTGAGTCGGTCTGGAACAGTAAATAAGGTCTCATACAATATAATTAGAAGCATTATTCTAACAGACTAAGACAATTTAATGTTTCAGTTTTCCTTTTCGCACTTAATTGCTTCGGCCACCATATAACGCAGTATTGGACCCGGCTCAATACTAGTTCAAGCAAAACCGAGTTTCTTACCACGCTTTGATTTCCTGTGTTGCTATTTGGCATCTCAATCAATTACATACTTCTCTAGGAGAAAACTTGAACGAACAAAGTAACCCGCAATAAAAGCGGTGCGTCGAATTCTTCACAGCCTTCTTGATAGAATTGTTTCCTCATGTGTCCTTCGTGACTAACAGTGGGAAATAATTTGTTATCCGCACGAACATCAGCAGGTGTTTGGCCTCAGGAACACCACGTGTATCGTCATTTTTTACCCTTTCCGCGTTCACCGACGTTGTTCATCTTTCCCGTGTCTATGTTCAATTCTACCTGAACCGTTTTTAAACTTGACTTTAAATGTTCCAGACGCTCTCTCAAGCCTTGAAGTTGTGTTGTGAAGTCTGCCCCCGCTACTTTTATTTTTGAATCCAGTGACTGAAGTCTTTGCTCCAAATGTGTTGAATTTGTAAGCCCTATAGTCGCCGGTTTGAGCGAGGAGCCCTCTTTGAGAACACCTTTTTCAGCACCTTCTTCTTTTTTCGCTTCCTGGGATGTGTCCTCTTTTGCGTTTACCATCACTTCGAGAAGCTGAATACAAACGTTCTGATAAACAATTCAATCATATTAAAATTGAAACACATCAAAATCTCAGAAATAATGCAAATTTGCTTTGCTTTGCGGGTAACCACAAGCAAAGGCCCATTAACTCCTAGCCACTTTGGGCAGATGTCACAGATGTTGAAGGACCGGCGCAATAATTTCTGTTTGGCAGAATTTGCTTAATACGGTTAATCTAGAGATCAAATTGAAACTTTAGCAATTGGAGCGTTAGCTCTTGAATCTTTTACGATGACTTGTTTATTTTTTTGAGTCGGTTTATAGGCAAAATTGTCGTTTAGTTCCCACCAAGGCAGTGACATCGTTTCCTTGGAAACGAAATTCTTTGCGCAATGCAGCGAAGTACGTTCATCTACGGAGCAAGAAGTCCGCAAAATGGCGACTACCGGATTTCTGCCTCAGACCTTATCATCAGTTAATAAGTGGGAAGCAAATGCTGTTGTGAGTTTTCATTGTCCTAGCCAGAGATCTCGATCCGTCGGGCGCTGACGACAAGGTCCACAGCTCAAGGAACGAGAATGCGCTAGGTTCGCTAGAATATTAAGTCGTCATTGGACAGATTGCCAACAACACGAGGACTAACGGGTATATGTTTTTAGACCTGATCTGCGACGGTCAACCTAACAGACAGGTGGTGTACATGTGACGAAAGAGTATCCAAAATTAAAAGAAATTAGGAAAGGTTAAGCTTTCTTTCTAAACGCTCCATCTTTTTTTAACACGTGTTGAATGAAAATAAACTTAAACAACACTATAAATTAGCCAGATCTACTTAGTTAAATCAATATTGAATTTTGCAGCTCCCCTTTTCTCATGGACAGTGCCTCGTTCCTGCCAAAACAAACGTATCCACCTGAAAACAATAATTGAAAACCAGTTATCAATAAGATAAATCATTTTATGTTACTTCAAGTTTATGCAGATTTTGAATTAACTGGATCATCAGGTCACTGTAAGTTTTTAACATTGAAAGGCTTTGAGATGTCTTACTGATCGAGTTCATGAAGAACAAGAAAATTGAAATTATGAGGGGAGCTGTTGTGGTGGTCTTACTTCCTTGTGTTGCTTTAACTCTTCTAGGTAAGCTACCGATTACAGAAATCTTAAATGTATCTGCTTGATCCAGCTTCAAATTCCAATTCTCCGAATATGATTGAGCTAAGAGATAGACACTGAGTAAATCTTAACATATACAGATGGATTTTCCAAGTAACTATAATCATTGCCATTTTTTCAGGCTATATTTACTGAATTTATATAATAGCCTTACTGAATTGAAAGATGGCTCATTTGATTTGCATTTAGTTGAAACGAAGAAAGTAACTCAACATCAGCTGAGCTGGAGTACGATGTTTTGTTTTGGATCGTAATGCCAGCGAAGAGTGAGTACTAAGTTCTTTTGCAATGGGACTCAACGTCTGATGATGTTGACTTCATTCAGTCAACGCCTGCGTATGCGGTCTTTGATTTAAGAGGCTGGTTACCAACATTGAGAATGAAAATCAGCGAAAAAGACTGAGTTAAACACAGCGTTCGATTTCGCCAACGGACCAAATTTGAATGAGATAGTACAGTTTGAGGTAAAAAAATGAAACGATAGGTAACATAAATATTCACTTGTTATATAACCAAGTGAAGCTATACCAAGTCAATTTATTTTCCCAGTTTGGTTCTGTTTTTTTGTTTTGTTACTTAAAAATGATTTTTTTTCAAACTCGGAGAAATTTTTACAGATCAATTATTTCTGCATCAGACTATCTAATTTTACAGATTCTAAGGCCAAAATTGTTTGTACTGCAAGCATGTGTTAATCTTAGTCGTTTGGCAACTTGACACAGTTCGGGGGGGGGAGGGGGCAGCAGTTCAGATGTCGATGACGCTGAGTAACTCGATCACCTGAGCTATCTTAAACCCGAATTGCCTTGGTCAGCTTACTTTGCAAAAAAACCTTCAAAACATCACCGCTTAACTGACAGGCGACCAATTACATCGTGACGAATCAGGTCAATAACCAGGGTTTAAAAAATAATACCATTAACTGAAGAGATTACAACTCATTTTGACTCTGAAGGTGACGACTACACAGGTCGTCGAAACGTTGGTCACTGTCAACAATAGTCCTATTCAGGATTACGCTCACGTGGACGATCATGCTTCACCTACGATATGAAATGATCCCTGGGTTTAAACCTTCCACAAGATTTTTGTCATAGCCTCAATGTTTTTACTCTGTTAAAGAAGTGGTGAGGGGGGGTGGAAAACGTTCAAAGAACGTTTTTTCTCTACAGTATTATGAAATGAGCTATAAAATTACTTGGATCCCACATAAAATAAACGGCACACTATTTTAGTAGTTTACATTTCTGAAAATAATTATCATATACACTGTAGAACAAATAACACAACGTTTAAATGGACACTGTTGGGGCCACAGTAAGTGTCCGCATTAAAAGGGTATCCGTATATTAAGCGGGTTAAATTTAGAAAAGTGTAAGAGTTTTCTTTCCCCAGGGACAAAGCAAACTGTCCGCGCGTATTAATGAGGTGTTCGGCCGTATTAAGCGGTTGTCCGTAAAGCGGGGTTTGACTGTACAAGGAGATGTTAAGTTAAAATGGATCAGTTTAGGTTTCTGGGAAACTGCCGACCTACCCCTCCCCTAACCATCATTTTGCCCAAAGTGAGAATGAAGTGTTAATGTTAGCTTAGGGGAGGGGTAGGTCGGCAAAACCTAAAATGATCCGTTAAAATTACGGTCAACACCGCTTTAGTACCCTCAGTGTCCTTATTAACGGGGTTTGACTGTATACTATTGTTCTAAAATGAACTGTTTCATTACTTTCTAACGTCAGAATTATTTGATGGAGATTCTCCTGAGCAGTCATCAAAGAGAAGGAGGAGAAACATCTATGGTGATATGCCCTTTGAAGACGAAGACTTTCCGGAAGATGACGCTTTTTATCGTGATGACGATGATGCTGATGGTTACGATGAAGACGACATGCATTACAGAAGACAACAGCAGCAGAGGAGATACTACAGACAATCTTAGTAATTTAGAGAGACCGGCAGATGAAAACTAAGGATGTAATAGCACAATCATCTTTACCAAGTACAACTATAGTGACACAAGAAAGCTTTCCATTCAGCTTAGTGATATGAAAACCCATTAGGTTGTGACTTTAAAGACAATTTGCCTGATTTCGTCATATACTTGACTAAAACTTTCAGAATTGAATCAGAACCTTCTAGGATGGATTATTTTGTGTGAAAATTATATAAGATAAAAGCTTATAATGGTCTACTAGTCGAGGAAAATAAATGTTAACCAAAATGGAAAAACGAAATGACGTCCAGTAGTTCTAGTCAAATCGTTAGTCAAAAAATTCAATTTTAAAAAACGGAAAATTAAGCCGAAAGCTGAAATTATAAAGGTGACGAAAAAGAATTGTGCAGTATCTAATTAAAATAAGCTACTGCACAATTTCTTAAATTTGCAATTCCGCCCCCCCCGCCCCCCTCCAACACCAGCTCAGCTCCACCCACGCAACACCACTGAAAATGAACGTAAAGCCCCCTTTAATATCTGAGCCAGATGTTATGGAATTTTCACTAGATGTTTTCGGTGATCAGTCAAAAAAGCCAAAAAATTCAAAGAGTGCAGACTGTAATAGTGTTATGGTGCATCAGTGATTGTGAGCTAGGTTATTGGGTGGTTCCCCTCTCTTGCACATATTGTTACTGATATTGTTACTGATCTAACGGTATGCTCATCTGAGAACGACCACACTTTCTACAATATGTCATTTTAGTTGAAAACAATCTGTAAAGGGGCTGTGTCAAAAAGTTTACCAAAATTGAACAGTGGAAACTGCCACTAAATTGAGTGGACAATAAAAATAACATCTCAAAACGTAAAAAGAAGGTTTTTTTGAATAAGCGAACTAATATATACAAATTGAGGAGGCCCGGATTGACAAATTTAAAAAAGATTGAAGATGATTGTAATTGTGATTTTTGAAAACTTGTTAGCTTAACAAGTTTTCAAAGTTAATTCTAGCGTTTCATATAATACTTGGGAGAATTTTGTTTCACACGAACCTGTGATTTTGTCATTCACAAATAATTTGTCAAGTATTATAGCGAATAAGAGCGTGTAATTAGCATTCTAAACGAAATGAACTACAATAGCTCGCCGGGACACAGCGTCCGTTAGTTTTCTTTTGTATTGGCGACGCATGCGCGCGCTGTCCAGTTTAAAGATATACAGATCAGATGTCTTGATTTGCAATAAGGCAAACTCTTATAATACAGTCTATCCCTTATATTCAGTGACGCATGGTCTGTGTTTTACATCAAGTACTTTGTACTACGATCCAGTACAATCGAAGTTTTTTTCTTATTTGTTATTTACTTCTAGAGCTCCATTCCATTATGAAGGGTAAAATTGAAGACTGGTTTTGTTACTTTCGCCTCTAACTGATACACTAAACGGTACAAACATGTCACGAAGATTAAACACTGTACAGCAGCAAGTCTTAACATTGAACCCTTTTGACATAAATTTCAGGATGTTCTTTAATCTTGCAGAAATATTTAGTTTCATTTGCAAGTATAAGGCGAAGACTCAGAACCACTGTCTCTCTACATCTCGGCTGTTATGAAAACAATAGCTGGTGAAAAACCGGTTAAAACAGAAATTTTCTAGTTTGCTAGAGTTAACACAACAAAACAGCCCTGTTATCGAAAATTATTATCAATCAGTTGTAAGCAGTTGAAATCGGCAAAACGCACCCGGGATTTCTTTTAAAGGGCTTGTAGAATAAGTACAATAGGACGATAAAGCGATTAGATATTCAGGCAACAAAGTATAATTAGGTTTCGTTTACTTATTAGGAAAAAAATCAATGTTTTTGTAAAGTGTTTTGGTAAACAAAAGAATCACGTTATTTATTTATAGATAAGAAAAAAATCTTGTTCTTGGGTTTCCGCCTCGCCTTATCGTCAGTGAAATCGACGTTGCGCAAAAAAAGAAAAGAGGAAATCGGATCTACTATGTGATACGAAGTGGTCTGCGGGTATCGGCCAGTCGATACGGTATCATTGCACGTTCTCTAAACTGTAAGTGGTGAAATATTTTACTTAATTATTTAAGTCTTCATTGGCGCTTAATGCAAATGCAATTAATTTGATTTGGGCGACTTTTCATCATACTTAAACTTATAACTTTGAAAATAAATTAATATCTCAAAGATCATATATCTGGGTAAAACAGGCAACAGTTTTCTTTGAACGGGGAAAGGGAGTACCAAGATTGATCAGTAGGGTCTAAAGGACACAGACTGCCACAGCTAGCAACTATTTGCCGTCCTATAACATTGTTCAATGGTTTTCCTTTCGTTTACAGATGCTTTAAACTTTGTACAAATGTGTACAATTAAGCAAGCTAGCATCAACATTAATGCTACTAAGGGCTAATTGCTATCAAATTAAACGTCGAAAAATGTAAAATAAACTTCTCGATTTGTTTGTAAATTTGCAAACGTGCAAAGTTATAAATTAACATATGCAAGGAAATAAAGAATAGAATAATACAGAGTAGAGAAAGCTGTCCTAGTTAGATGATCATTTCGTGACCACTTATTGTTTTCCCAATAACGCTAACTGTTCCTTTTTATTTTGTTTTTCCTCACACTTACGTCCTGGATACTCTTAATTACAGACCCCTTTTTGTTGTTGTTTTGTCTTGGTTCTTCTTTTGGGTGTTGTTCATTTTTTCTTGCCAACAATGTTTGAATTTTCGTACTTTTGCAGGAGAACTAATACATGAAACATGAGGGCTCTACTCATCCTCGTGTTTGCCACGGAATCGGTGCTGACGAGCGCGAAGGGTTTGTTTTTCCCTTACTCATGTTTTTGTTAGCTTTTATAGGACCTGACCGCGAACATTGTTCAGTGGCATTCCTATCAGTTTGCATTAATTAATTCAGCCACAATTTGTGAACAAAAAACAAAGGATTGTGCACGGTCAGGGAGCTTCCAACATAAACTGCAGCATCGTTTGTTTTCAACATTGATGTTTGCCGGCTTTCATAACCAGTTTCCTCTACCAACTATGCCTTGCCCTACTGATACACCAGTATCTCTTTTTAATCAGTAAGATATTACGAACTTGAACTGTGTCTTTGTTTCAGGTTCCCTTGAAAGGGATGTACTGACGTATGTTAACGTTTTCCGTCATTTGCATGCTGTGGGGCCGTTACTAACTGACGAGATCATTCATGAAAGTGCGCAAAATGCAGCTAAAATGTTTATGAAGACAAGAAATAAAGACAAAGTGCCAATTCACCAATATAGCGCTAACTTTTGCACTTACACTGGATCAGAGGAAATTCTCGACCGCACCTGCGTTGTATCGTGGTATAGTTCCATGAAGTATTATATGTGGTGTCAGCCTAAAGCAGAAGGTCAAGCTTTACCATTTGTGAACATGATTTGGAAAGCCAGCAAAAAAGCAGGAGTTGGGTTAGCCAAGGGCTCTGACGGAACCTATTATGTAGTACTTTACATTGCGCTACAAGATGCAGATAATGTTGCAGTTAACGTGCCGCCTGTAAAAGGTAACACTGTATCATCATCGTCATCATCATCATCATCATCATCATCATGATCGTCATTGTCGTTGTCATTATCACCTTCACCATCATAATTATCATCATTATCTTCTTCTTTATCATCATCACCATCATCATCATCATCATCATGATCGTCATTGTCGTTATCATCATCACCTTCACCATCACAATTATCATCATTTTTCCCTCTTTCAGCGTCATCTTATCATCATCACCAATATCATATTCGTCATTATCAACATCATTTTGGCTGCGGAATAGACGGTCACAGTTTTGCCCCCATTCCACCCCCTCTAAGGCTGTAGCTGTTACTTGTAGCACTTATAAAAAGTTGTACAACGTGTAATCAATCCGAACCTGCAGATTAATTTATATAAAAGCCTCGTTTTAACTCTTTGATATAAAACTGCTTGGGTGGTTGGATCTTGTCATCATTCTTTTGTTGCTATTTTTGGTTTCTTTTTCCTTGCAAGAGTACGTTTTGAAAAAGCTATTACCTTTGATCTTAAATACGCAACATCACGCCGGCAGTATATTATAATTTTAGCAATCACAAATAACAAAATATCAATGTGTTAAGTGACTGACCGTTCTCAGAACCTTTAAAGTCCATTTGATTCTAACGGATTTCTTAGGCCCAAAAGAGCTAGATTAGAAAAATTTCGTGATTCCTGAGCACCTACTTTTATTTGACACATTCGTGACGTCAGTCCGGCCTCCAATTTGACATTGGTGGCAAGCAGAGCTGCCGAAAGTTTCCACGTTATTATATTAGTTCTCCAGACCTTGCTACACATAAAAGACAAGTCCGTACATTACAGTAATTAAATTTGCTTTCAATTTAAGAAGTGCTTTTTTATCTTTCTGTTTGTAGTTGTTATGGAGGCGAGCCCTAAAGGTAAGGTCTTCAAAAGCAAAATTAATTTCAGAATTCAGGATATACTTCAATTATTTTTGAAGCTTAACTTTTACCTTTTGCATTTCAGCAAACTGTCCACCGGGTTATTCACGATTTGATACTTCCTGCTTCAAGTATGAAACAACCGGAGTAACCTGGGACGAGGCCGTGACACGATGTGCATTAGAAAATGCGACATTAGCTTCGATACGAAATGCAAAAGAAGAGAATTTTGTGCGAGAACTACAGAGGAAAGCAGGATCAACTGTAGAGACGTGGATTGGTACGAACATTTAAGCTACCTTATATTATTAGTATTACTAACAGGGCAACTAATTCGAAACAATTAAAAGTTAGCTCAATAGTTGCCGTTTAAAATAGCAATCACTTTAACAAACCAACACTTATCAAAAAGTGGAGAAGAAAGCTCCTGGACAAGTGTGGCCCTTTTTATCGTATTCCAAAGTACTGTGAAAGGACACAGGGAGATCGATCTAATTATTGTTCAACACACCTATAAAATAATCATTGACCAACTGGGAAAATGTAATGTACCATTACTTAACGCAAATATCTCGACTTCGATCCCTGCAGGTGGATCAATTTAAAACTGTTCAAACGACGATTTTGATGTACGGTGTATACGCCGTAACCATTCCAATACAACCTTATCTTCTCCGGCGGTTTGGTATAATTTGAAATAAGTCTTGTAGTGAATATTGATAGAGGTTATTCTTGGCCGCCTAGAAAAAGGGTTAAAATTGGCAACACAGGATTTTTTACAACTTTACTCAAGTAAACGATACCCTTGCAGGCCTGCACGACAGTGTACATGAAGGACGATTTAAATGGTTTGATGGGTTAAGATTTAAGCCTGGCGTCTGTGTTCCTGTGCATGCAAACGGTGGACACATGGAGAACTGTGTGGCATGGAGCATAGAAAAACCAAAAGGCTGCTGGGAGGATAGACCCTGTAACCAGAAGATTCCTTTTACATGCAAAATACCAGTAGAAGGTAAAGAGTACTCTTACGCGACTTGTGAATGATTCTCGTTAACATATCAAATTAACTACATACCGTATTTACTCGATTAAACGCCGCCCTCGAAGGGGTAGAGGGAATTTTTCCAGTAAGCACCACAATCAGAATAATTCCAACTCCAGACACTCTAAGGTGAAAGGGTACAAACGTTTGGTGCAGCGATTTCTGGGATTGTCGGGGTACAAGCGTTTGTTGTGATTGGTCGATGGAATTCCAGGACCCATTCACCAGTCACAGGTAATGCTTGTCCACTCAAATGATCCCAGAAATCGCTGGGCCGAAAACGTGTCGCTATTGCTCTTAAAGTTTCTGTAATCGTGAATACGGTTATAAGAAAACAACTCGGTATAACTTGGTATCTAGGCCATCCAGACAATTACGATTCGATTCTATCTGAGCAAAAGTACTAGACATTGGACTTTTTAAACATCCTCCTGTTTTACATAATATTTACAATTGATTTATCGTAAATGTTTTTAGTGATTTTAAGAAAAGTGATTTTGATATAAACGTCGCCCTTGAATAAACGCCGCATCGGGGACGCTGAAAATTTAAGAAATGCCTCGGCGTTTAATGGAATAAATACAATTAACAACAACAACAATAAAACTTTGTTGAGAAACAAAATAATAACAGAACAAATGCACTGCCTGCGGCTAGCATGGCATTTCGAGGCGGGACAGTGCGTGCAAATGAATTAGAAGGACGAATCTCGGTAACGTTTTAAAAAGCCATAGTCCATAAACATTGCGTGAGAGTTAGTGTTTTAATAGAAAAATTGAATATATTAATAGCTTTTTGTACTTGCAAATTTAAATTCTTTAACAGATTTGTCATTTCGGAGACTGACAAGTCTTAAATTTTATTATGGTTAGTGACTGGTGATTTGAAAACATATTTTTAGGACAATTAGATATTTTCGTAATAATATACAGCTTTGGAAGATTTTTAACGTAAGTTATAGTTTGTCTCCAATTAGGAAGTTCTCTTAGGGAGACCAAACTGATTCATTCGACTCTAAATTAAGTTATCATTAATACTTAATTATTAGTGCTCTGTAGTAACAGAAGTTACTGTTCACCAATACAGGGCATCATTTCTCTCTCTTGATACGGTTCTAATATTATATCATTCTGACTTCTTAGGTTATAAATTGTTCTTACTTATCTCTTCTTTACATTTTATCAAAAAGGAAAATCGACTTACAGAACAGAGATTCTATTCAAGAAGTTTCGTTGGAGGCCTAATTATAACAATAAAAACTCCAAAGCATATAGGGATCTGATAAACGGCATTAAAGTAACAGTAAGTGTCGAAATCGCTTTAAAAAATATTATGTTTTCTTCATTGCTTAATTGAGGCTATTAAACGCTGACTGATTTTTACCATATTGTCTAAAGTTTAAAGAATTGTTCACCAGGAAGTCAGGAAAGAAGAAGGGAGGCTTTAGAAAAGTTAAGGTGAAAGGCATCAGGTATTTTTTCGCTTTGTTTGTTTGTTTTGAATTTGGTTTGTCTTGTTTTGTCTTTCGAGTATTATAGTTAACTGAAGGAATTCAACCTGGTACGTTCCCAGGGTCTTTTCCTTTTATTTTTCTATAATGGTTAAGATAATTTTTTGCTTGGCCATAAACCAAAATTTCGGGGTCTCAGGTGATGACATAAGTCATTAGAGCATTTATTGATAATTTGAAATAATATATTGCCTACTCCGGTTTCTGCAAAAAGTGCGATTATCTGAAAAAACTGTAATGAGAATAAAAAACTAAGCTAACACAGCAGAATAGTCGGTACCATAACAGGCAGGTAATTAAAATAAACAAAATAATTTTCACTTGCCTACTGTTAACTCCTGACACACGCTTGATATTTACTTGCATATCATTGCAGAAACAAGTTATAATGATCATTTTTCTGGGGTAGCCTCGCACGTAAACTGCGGTACTGAAATACACATTTGAAGCTCTCCTTGCGACCACTCTCATAACACCAGTTCTAGTTGCAACCACTTTAATTTTAACGACTTCCTGGGCTGGGTGGTTGCTCACGAGAGCTTTGTCGAGACCCTGCCAGGGAAGGGGGCGGGGGGGGTCCCATGTCGCCGGTCTGAATTTTAAAACGTCTCGTGTCGGTGTTTATAAATGCTTGTCGCTTATTGTCGTCTTTGCCGTCACTGTCGCAATTTGGCCGAAGGAGGTTGTCTCTTGTCGCGATTTCATTTTACGCGCTGTCACTACTTTTTGGGCCATGCCGCTTGTCGAAATTTACACTGGCAGGGCCTCTTTTTCGCTACGTAATATTTAAATCTAAAGTGTTCTCCGTTTTTCTTTTCTTTTCAGGGCAATATCTTTTAAAGGACGGTAAGTTTAAGGCTGTCTCCTCTTCATGTCACTTATATATCACATTAAGGTGTAAAGGATAAATGGCTAAACTGCTAGCTTAATACAGCTTACTTTTCATTTACAAAGGAAGAAACGCAACAACTATAGTAACTGAATACGGTATTACAATTAAATAATTTCACGATTACTGGCCCATAGTTCACGGTAACGGACTAATCGATCATGATTTCATTTTCCGTCAAACAGGCCCGCTGGATTAGGAATAGCCATTTCTGTTAAATTCAGGTCCTTCAACGCCGACCCAACTCTCAGATTTCAGAAATTTTTGCGCGGTTCCGAGAAGCTTTTAAGTATGGATATTGACAAACCAGGTATGGTTTTTTTTTGTTAAAGATCGACTAGAAAATTAATGAAAATTTAAAATCCACCTTCATTACATTTCGTATGCGTGCGTTGAATGTGGTAAAGACGTGATGTCTTATTTTACAAGTAGTTCAAGTTATTCGAACACATTCCTAGTCTCGGCATTTATAATTTCTCACAAAATACCTTCATTACTGGAGAAGAATATAATACAATCTTTGCCATTATCATCATCATCATCACCATGATCGTCGTCGTCGTCGTCGCCGTCATCATCACAATCATAAGAAGTATAACCCTACCTGGATAGAAAGCATCTTTTGTGTCTTGGAGTGTTTCAAACTCCAAAAGATGTGTAGCCGATAACTGCACGAATTTTCGCGCATTTTTCGAAGATATAACATGTGGCTTGATAGTTGTAATTATTGTTCATGCTAAGCAAGAATATACTTACACTTTTCGAATTTTGCACTTGAATGATCTTAAAAATTTCTTGTACTAAGGTTTATCAATTTATATCTATTCTGCGAGTATCATAGATCTTGGATGCCAATAAATAGAAGATGGAGAATCTAAGAGTGTAGCGATCGTTTGAAGTCACGGATTCATACACAATGCTTTTTTATTTATATTTTGCAGATAAAGTAAAAGGAAAAACAGGTACGCCGGGTGATGTCGGTTTATACTTAAACATCTTTTAATTTAATTCTTGCATTATTTCTAAAGAAAGAAAAATTTCTTCACGCCTGCATGAGACTCATACCATCTCTCACCACTATCACCTTTTGTTATTTCTTAACATCCAACCTAACATCAAGAAAACCTATCTTGAGAATAAGAATGTCTGCTTGACTAAACATCTCTTTTTTTCGTTACTAGTACTTTATCTTTGATCACACGCTCATCTAGATGGAGTCTCGGCTGTGTTCAAAAAAGCTAGAGACGACTTTTTTGTTCTCATCAGGTAAAGCAGGAGACTACTGCTACAGCACATGCACTCAAAGGCACACTTGCACCCCAATCTACCAGCAGCCCTCAACCTACAGCTACCAGCCAGTATACAATGTACCCGCTCCGCCACCATATTCGCCGCAGCCCTACCCTGTTTCCTTTCCAGGGAGTGTGCAGACAGTCACAACAACAACTGATCCATACCCATCAACGTGTCCAATGTCGTGTACCCAACACCCGACACTGGATTGCTACACGCAATGTAATGATGAGTGTTGTGAGAAAAGAGATGGGAAAAGGAAGGGGAGACCCAATCGTCTGCGTGCTGCTAAAGATATGCATGAGAACTTTGGAAGGCTTGATCATCTGATCGACAAAGTGACAAATAATGGGCCACCTGCCAATTCTTTAGACAATTTTAATGATAAGACAGATGATAAAGATGAAAATGCAGAAAGTGTTATTGACAATCTCGAGACAAACATTGAAAACCTGGGAGTCAATTTCGATGAAGAACAGGCGAAACACCTCAGCAGCCAACATAATGAGAGAGATACAGCTGAAAATACAAAAACGGCTTCCAACTTAACGGAAACGTCTGACTTTACAAAAACTAAAGCCGGAAGGATGGGGCTCGATGAGAATCATGTCATTAGATACATGAATAAGACGAAAAAGTCACATGATATGATTGACGATGACCAGGAACCCAATAATTCAGATGAAGAGCCCGCAAACAATTTCATAACTACAAAACATACCAACAAACACTATGAAGACGAGAACGAAGAATATGAACCACTGGAAAATGATAGTCGATTTAGGAATAATGAAGAAACTATTCCATTGAGCCAAGAAGCAATTGGTATGCAAGATGAAGAAAAAGCCATGGATGACAGGAATGAAGACAGTAACGAAAAAAGTGATATTAGCCCTGAAATTGAAGTCGATAATTCTGAAACCCTCAGCGGTGAGAACGATGATGAAGATGACAATGATGGAACTGAGAACGTTTTAAATCGGGATCAAGATCCTCCCGGGCCGCTTGAAGAAGATTCCGTGGATTCTTCGGATGAGCTTTTGGATGAAGAAGGAATTGATGACGTTGGCAAATTTGGAAGGAAAAGAGACAAGGTTTCACATGGAAAGAAAAATATAAAGCAAGCACTAACGGAACTTTGATATTCTTATTAACAAACGTCACATTCGAAAATGATGTACGCTCTTGAAATTTCACAAAACCACCGACCTGTAAAGCTCAAATAACCCTATATTGTCGTCCAGTAGAGGTCAAAGTTACCGGATTTTTTAAAATTATTTGTACCACAAGTTACGTAATACTAGAGTTTTCTTCCAGGGCTACTCATGCATTCGTTAGAGCGTCACATCACGTCCTAATGAGTAGATTAGGAAAAAGCATCAATCCAAGTTAAGCCCAGTGTCCAAATAAAATGTTCATATTGCGAATCCTCCCTTTACGAAAACAACATTTCGTATTTTGTTCATTCTTATCATAAGTAACTTACTTACTTGCGACACAAAAGAAGTGATAATACTTCTTTTTATGAAAAAAAAATGAAAGATTAAGAAAGTGGAAGGAATAAAAATACAATTTAATTACATCAAGTGAACGTTTGTATGTATATGTGCAAGTAATGATATTGAGGGGATGGTTATGATGATGGTGCTGTTAGTTGTTGTAGTTGAGGTGGTAGTGGTACTAGTGGTGCTGGTGGTGGTGGTGGTGGTTGTAGTTGTGGTGGAGGTGGTCCTGTTGGTAGTAGTGCGGCTGAAAGTGGTTGTGGTGGTGGTAGTGGTTTTGGTGGAGGTTAAGTTATCGTGGTAGTGGTCTTAGTGGTGCCAGAGGTGGTAGTTATGGTTGTGGTAGTGGTAGTGGCGATTGTTGTGGAGGGGGTCGTGGTGGCAATGATTGTGGTTGTGGTTGTGGAAGTGGTGCTGGTGGTTGTAATTGTGGTGGTGTTAGTAGTGCTGGTAATGGTGGAGGGGGTTGTGCTGGTGTTGAAGGTAATTGTTGTGATACTGGTGGTTGTGGTGTTGGTGGTAGTGATGATCAATATGATAATATGATGATGATGACAATGTCTTTATTTGAACTTTTTTTCACTTAATACATAATTGGAATGCTCTAAATGAAAGAAGCATCCATTTCAATCGGCTACTAATGCAAAGTTAAATATGTCTTACGGAAAATGTATTTAAAGAGCACATTCACAGACTTTAAGACCGGTTAATGTTTATAGATCGCAAAAACTACGCCTTTTCGAAAAATATAACATATTAACACTAACATACAATAGAGCTTGAGAACCTGAAAATGAAAACATACTTCACTGGCCCAATTTCATCAAAGCCTACCAAAAAAAAACTGCCAACAAATCTTTTAACGAAATGTATTAAATTTTTACAGGCATAAGAACTATCAAGGGCGGTTCCAGGATTTTCTAATGGGGGGTGGCTTGATTACAATCGGCCAGAAAACCATACGTTAATTAATTCTAAGTTGTCCTTAATAACCTACTTGGCCAAAAGTGAAGACGCCGTGATTCGTCTAGGGTGCGGCGCCACAAATTTCTCACAAACTACACTTCTTTTGATGGTAACTGCATTTTCATTCATGGCGATGACGACCAAATCTGAGAGTCGTACAGTTGCCATTGTATTGAGAATCCAACTACGGATCCTCCGAATACAGGAAAATAACCTTTCTGCGTCAGTGCTCCCCTTTGGCAAAACGGCGAGATTTCTTTAGATGTTCCCTCTCGTTTGGGAAAAGGATGTTGTCTGAATTGCGTGTTTCGCTAATACAGAGGAGACCGAGATGGATTCATAATCCGACTCTACCTGTCGCTTCCAGTGGTTCGTCCATCGAAACAGTTCACTTTCGAAAGATGACGACATTGACATCAGATGGTGCCACTTCTCATGCAGTACTTGAGCACGTTCTATTTTGGCTCCTTCAGACTTAGAGGTGATTACTCGAGAAATAAGAGCACAAGTTCTGAATTGACTTTATTTAGCAAGCATAGAATATTACAAGTTGATCAAATGAAGGCAGCAACCTTAATACTCTCTTTTTACATTGTGAGGCTAGTTGGCTTCACAAGGGTTTTGGAACCCACGTATTTCTATGGTTTCTGGCACCCTCGTGTTTCCGTTTGCTTTTCCACGCATTATATTTTTTTCGTGGGCTGTTGTAAAGGGGGGTGGTTAGCCACCTAATCCATCCCCCCTAGATCTGGCGCCGATTATGGAACCTAAACGAGAAGGTAAATGACCAGATAATTTCATTGAATGGAGTTAATGGAACCTCAGTGGTCAGGAAAGATATTATGGCATCCGTCTTATACAAAAACCGTCGATCACAGAAGTCTTTGTTGGTATGCAAACGAAAGAGCCTTTAAGGGAAAATAGGAAATGATTTGGATAAGTGTATGTATATTTAACAATTCTCCCTCGAGCCCGAATGGGCTCTGAGTCAATAGCCAATGAGGCCGAAGGCCGAATGGACTATTGACTTAGAGGCCATGAGGGCGAGAGGAATAATTGTTTTAGTAAAATCCAACTAGTTGGTCATAAATATCGAGACAAAAGAACTTGAGCTAGCAAACGCTATTCCGCCGCCATTTTTTTGGTTTTCAAAGCCGGCGCTTTTCGTTACTAGTAGGCTATAACATATAGCCTAGTAGTAGCTCAACCAATCAGAACGCAGCATTGTTAATAGACCACTCCGGTTGGAATTTACTAATAAATAATATGGGGATCGCAAAAAATATCTCGTTCTCAAGGTAAAATTATCACACTGGTATTTCTGAGTAGTTAGGGGTACCCAACGTCAATTTTCGGAAAATATCTGTTCGGAAGACGATCT